CAAAAAAGTTATAAAAATTCAATGGAGTCAGAAAATTTCTTCTTTTGTTTTCTTACATAAAATGTAAAATTACGAAAAAATTATATTTTTCTTTCCTTTCTGACTTTTGGATAATATAAAACTTCAATTTTTCAAAAAAACAAGCCAATAATGACTATAAAATCTTTAAAAAACAGAGTTTAAAAAGGTATAAAAAAGAAAATAATCTGCAGAGAGAAAAAAATTTTTATTTACATCATTACTAACAAGCTTCCCAAATGCATTTCGCCTATGGCCTCTTCAGTGGGGCTTACAGCACAAAATCTACGTTCAAACAGTCAACTCATTGAAGAGCCACTTATACAGTTAACAAAAAACTCCCAGCATGCCGCTGTTAACATTCCGGTATTTAAATTAACATTATTGTTTTGCATAATTATAGCGAAGTGTTCTTTTACCTTTCGCTTTACAATATTTTTTTCCTTAAAAATTATTTTTAATTTATTAATATTAATCTGACAATTATTACTATTACAATGTTGGAAGACAGGAGAATTACTCATTTTCAACCTTACGGCAGCCAAATGTTCCGACAGTCTGATCCTTAATCTTCGTTTTGTTTCACCGACGTAAAAACTAGGATTGTTACACGTGCATTCTATCCGATAAACAACACCTTCTTCTTCTAATATATCTTTAGCATTATTTCTGATGATCATCATATTTGATAACCTGTTATTTAAGGATGGAGCCAATCTAATTAATTTATGATTAAAGAAGTTATTATATTTTTCATAAATACCTTTTATATACGGAAATGATACATACTTTATTATTTCTTGACAACGTTTAACTTTAAACCTGTTTCTTAAAAATCTGTGGAACCAATCATTTAGTAATCTTTTTGGATATCCATTTAAGATGTATTTCTTATGTGTATCTTCAATTTCTTCTTTTCTTTTATCTATATTTGTTGTTCTAGAAAAAATCTTTGTTATTTCCATCAGGTATACATTATATTTTTGATTTAAAGGACAGTATGATCTATAATTAATTACTTTTCTCGTATTACACGGTTTTTCAAATTTACAGTATTCCAAATGATCTTCAAATCTTTTAATTGTTATATCTAAATAACTTAATTGATTATTTAATTCATGCTCTTGAGTAAATTTAATATTCAAATTAATTTTATTAGCTTGTTCCAAAATTTGTAAGTTTCTTGTTACTGTACTATCGTACGCTATCAAAATATCATCGACGTACCTTGCAAAAAACATAACTCCATTTAGCGTTGATAAAATCATGTCCACATCCAGCATAAAAATTTCTGCTAGTTTTGGTCCTATTACGGAACCCATCAAAATACCTTCTGTTTGTCGATAAAAGTTCTTTTCCTTCACTGTAAAATAATTATTATCTAATGTGAAAATAAGTAGATCTTTTAAATAATCAGGGACACCATACTTACGTAGACTACTCAAAATCATATCTTTAGTAATAGAAGGGTACATAGATGCTATATCCAAACTCGTCAGTTTTGTGAGATCCAACCTAGGGTACAGGATAATTTGTTATGCCTGTATCACTTAATAGGCATCCTATTCGGTAAGAATAGTTCTCGAGCGTCAACAAGAATGGTTTTCCTATTTGATAGGAATCGAGTGGTGGAGGGTCTTACAGTGGGGTGGAATTAGTGCTGAAGTTGGTGGTGGTAAATTCACGTTCTTCCTACGTCAGGGTCCCGACACCAGTTTATCTACTTTGCATAACGCGGATAAACACGCGTGTGTGAGATCTGATTCGGACACAAATTAGGAGACATTTCTTATATAAAACAAACAAGAATAAATTTAATTAATCAATATAAATAAAACTAGTACAAGATATCAATGAATAAGAGATATAAATACGACTATTAGGATATACGTCGAGATAAATACGAATTAAATTATAACCTAACGAGAGAGAGAGTTACAATCATTTCTAAATCATACAACCTGGATTTAGTTGTCTTTAATATTCTTCTTCTGTAGGTTAAACACTTCATTCATAAAGTTCATAAACTTCATTCCATGGGGATTCGAATATGGCACAAAATAAAATATAAATCTTCCATGTCCTAACTTAAGATTAATTTTCTATGAGATACGATTTCGGGCGTTGGTCATCAGGAGCTGGTTTGGACTTCGTCTTCCTCTTCTGGGATCTGTCGACGAACTCCAATACTGAGGGCTGTGCCTTAGGGAGCAAATATGGAGACTTGTTACTCTCTGTGATCTCCGGACGAACTCTCCGAACTCTGCCAAACTTCAACTATATGTTCTCATTGGCAGCCAAACATTACGTCATAATTCTTCCACGTGCATGGATGAAAGGGGGTAAAATAAGGGGTAGATATTTCCCATCAGAGAGTGATTTTAACTGATAAGGGAAAAACAAAAGGATGTCCTGACTTCTGTGGAAGGAAATGAATCTGTTATCTGTTCTTTCCCACATTATAAAAACTTCAATTTCTACCAAAACGAAATAATATTTTTATGNTCTGGGTCTGGGTAAAATGTAATATAGTTTATTTAATGTGTAATTTAAAATATTCATTGTAGAAATTTTAAATTATATACATAAAATCAATATTATGGTTTATGCTTAACTTGCTTAGAATTCTGTAAAATAACTTACAGATAAGTTCATTTCAATTGCAGTGTTCAAGAGAACAAAATCCAGATTCATCACGTGTAGGTGAGGATGGTCAACGTGGCAGAAGCTTATTGCCTAGATCCAGATCCAGGTCTCGACCCCACTCCCGATCTAGATCTAGATCACGCATATATTCTCGCTCTAGTTCAAGGTAATATTTGTAAATTATACTATTAAAGTTAAGTTTTCTTGAACAGAACATTTAAATTTAAATGTTCTGTTTGAATTCTCTATTCGATTTTGAATTGCCTGAAGACGACGTACATATTTACATTGAAAGCACTCGCAAGATTAAAATATTTCTTTTAATTCTATTAAAATAAATATATATTCTTTTAAAACTTTTCAAATAAACTTTAAAAAAGTTTTGTTACTAATACTTGAAAGGTTGTTATTAATTATATTATTTTATCAGGAGTTTTTAATATTTAGAACAGGGGTGGCCAACACGAGGCCCGCTGAGCTAGGTCAAATGAACGTAAATGTTAACTTTATTGTACATATCACCAAAAGAACATTACCTCATGAGTTATTCGTATCATGTATTTTCAAATACATGATACGAATATAGCTAAGAGAAATTTGAAATATCTCTCATTTTTGGAAAAATTCATAGATTATCAGCTATTTCAAATATCCTGCTATTTGACACTCAAGGTTACTTAGTTTTTTGTCCGACGCTAAGTGTAAAGATAAAATTTAATATAAGACTTCAACTTCAGCTATAGGCTATATGTTCTGTGATCTTCGGCGTTTTCGAAAAGCTCACAATGCTGTCGGGCTCATATTCATAACTACTTTCAGTCCAGCTTGACAAAGTTCCGTGTTATTCTGTAGTTTCGTTTTATTATCGCCAATGCATCTGGAAAGATTTTGCAATCGACGATAAAATTACATATTTAACATATTTATAATTACAGTTCAAACTACTTTAACCAAGTAGCCTTTCTACCATATCGATTCTATAAGTAAGTAAACCCTGAAACGTTGGAGAAATTCCATCAAGTTGGTTTGGAAGAGTTCTATGAAGCGTATTTGGACAA